AGATTACCGGATACGCATGCCTGACGAGCGGCAAGAATCGCGAAACCGGTCGTGTGCTTCCAGGGAAATTGTGTCTAGTCACTCACATACCACTTATTATCAAATATATATAGTAGGTAGTATATGAATGACTGGACAAAATTTCCCTGGAAGCACAAGACTGGTTTGAGGACAAACATAGTAGCAACGCAACAAAGATTATAAAATGAAGCAAGGGGTACAAATTGATGAAAGGAAAATGGGGAAAACATAGAACAGGGAGAACAAGTGAATGAATGAATAGTTTTTGTTAGTTTCACCGTGCAAACTTTTTTGGAGTTTTGTTTGTCGATTGAGGAGACGGTGTTTCGGCAAACAAAATGCACAACAATAGCGCCACTGACCTTTATCCTGAGGTATATCTCTCAGCGGCTCTAACCATCGGCAATCCTCATTCCTTGGGCCCCAACCTAGAAGGCGAGTTGCACCAACCGATGCCGATGCTGAGGTTAACTTTTTCATACCTCTGCGCCATGTTATAATCTAATCGCCGCGGCCCTTCTTCTAGCCCTGCCCAGCACGTGCAAAGAGAGCCTTGAGAGGCAGACGATGGGAAGACATATGCAAAACGTGACCGAGCCATCGGAGGCGACGTAGAGCGACTACTTCTGTTAGAGGACACAATGATCGTTGGTTTGCCGTAAGCATGACGGTGCTCAAGCAACTGCCGGAGGTTGAAGATTTGATCGATCCATACACGACCGCCGCAAAACTCGGGTAGTTCCTTGCGGGCATGTTCCTCTCGCGTCCTGTACAACCTACGAAGAATAACGGACACCAGCAGCTTTGAGGCCATTGGGATGAGGTTTATACCTCTGTAGTTGGCACAAACATTGGGCAGGCCCTTTTAAAAATGGTAATAACAATCGGTTCCTCCCACGAGGGGACTTCCTCGGTGTTCCAAACTTTAGAGAACAGAACTTGTAGTTCTCTAAAAAGCTTCATTCCACCACCTTTAAATAGGTCCGAAGAAAGAACGTCGGAGCTTGGGGCTTTGTGACGTCTCAAGGCTTGGATCTTTCTGCGGATTTCTGTCTTAGAAGGTGGGTCTATTGAGACAGACTATGGGGCGTTTGCCTGAACAGCTGTGTGATAAAGTGACGCTGGTAGCCAGCTAAACTGTTTTGATGTGCTCCGCCCAGCGCGCAAGACGTCGCTGTTGATTGTGAATAAGCGAGCTGTCAGTTTCACAAATTGTTTTGCCAGCACCTAAAGCTTTCCTATCGGTGACTCGGATGAAATGGAACAGCTGACAGGAATTTCCAATACCTACAGCACTTCTCATCTCTGAAGCACATTGAGTCTACCGGAATTCGTGGTGTTGTGAGATACTACTTACATTTGTGAGCAGTATACAAGATAGTGCGGCTGGTGTATCCTTCAACGATCAAAAATTAACGAGACCACTGAGAGCGAATTGCTGTGCCTTAAAGAATAACTACGAACCGCTCTATTCATTACCCGGTGTGCTGCCGGAATTTGCGGTGACATGTTTCAAATGAAATATCCGTTACGTGTATGCCAAATTATTGATATCCCAACTGTAATCCGCAATAAACAACTATCCTCGACCAGGCACCGACCTGTGGAATTATAACAGCAGTCTCTGTGTAGGCTTACGTTAAGTTCACGTGTTATGTTATGCTCACTGCCGTTCGAAATTGACCGNCGTGCGTCAATAAGGCGTGGAGACTTAGCGGAAATTTAAGGTGGTATGGTATGGCGTGTCATTCCACAACCAACTAAGCCAGAAGAATGCAGAGCATTCTTGATAAGCGACGAGTGCGAGTGTGTATGATGACATGGCGCAAACTAATGCGTGATCGGAAACAAACAGAGTGCTCTAGTACGATCGGGAGTTTTGTATGCAACCCCGTCACTCGCGGCTTATAGCGATGTGGTCGATCCGCGTTCGTCGCTGACTCGAAAAGGGCGGATGACAAGTGGCGTACCAGCATTTGGATCGTTTGAAGTTCGTACTGGTGGGTATTAGGCGATTGTCAGAACATAGAGCCAACAGCCGTTCCCCGTTTTCCGAAAGGACCTCCCAGATGCGCTTCACTTGAAGTCAGCCCGCCTACTCTAGCAATCATACCCCCTGCTAAAATCACGATATCAGCCCAATTAATTTTACACAATAGGTCGTGTAGCTTTGGTAGAAAGTATCTTTGACTGTATCTGGACTACAGTTAGTGAGAGCGTACGCTAAGATGACAAACAAGTTGCGTCTTTCGAAGCGACGAATGATTACTTTGAACGAACCTTCAAGTCTAACTGCACCTAACCTACTGCCGACTGGGATCCTATTTAGGAGTGGGGCTGCAGCTCTCTCACTGAGAGCTACGCCGACGCCAGCAAGAAAGGAAACCGCAGTCTCAGGGTCCCTAGAAAGGCGTAAGTGAAACTCCGTACATGGGGTTGATGGAGACGTCAATCGGATGGTGGAGCTGGAGTCTTGAATGCGAGTTTCTTGGACATCACATATTGATGGCTATGATCTCGCGAGTATGAGCTAAACATGCTTGTTGTCTTATACGCATCAGCCTACGCACGTTACATGTGGCTTGTCTGAAAGGGCGTCGAGGACGAAGAGATTTAACCGGCGGAGAAGGATTCGGTGAGATTCGGACGCTATTCGAGGTAGGAGGCGAGAGAAGAGGGATAGGATTTCCATCTGAGACACAACAGTTAGTATGATCGTCTGAAGACCCCTTGGGATTGGAAATACTTGAGGGGAGTGCACGCGAGGGGGAGGAAAAACTAAAAAACAGGAAGATGTGTACAGTGTAGAATGATTTTCTCTCAATGGGGAAAGGTGTGGGTGCAAATTCTTGGATAACAGAAATTTGATATTTTATTTTGTGTGCGTTGTAGGCTGTTTTACTACTCGGTCGTCCAGCCCGGAGTAGGCTTTGTTCGAGTGCACTCTAGCTTTTGCGCAACCAAGCGCGAACAACAAGGCAGTAGCATTGTTCCCGGTGAGCCAGTGACCGGTTGATTGGTTCATTCACCTTTTCTTTTCACCACGTCACAGCGCTGTCTAAAGATACATGTAGCGTTTTGTGTGGAGAACTCTTGCCAAGTGGTAAACCTACCACATCCTCGAGCACACCCGCTGATCGTCAGCGACCGTTTATTTGGGGGGGGGGGGAGAGGACTAAATCTACCTTATTCACGGTCAACCACGAGTTGGCGGTTGTTTCCCTATCCGCGAACAGGGGACGCGCTCGTTACCATACAGATCTGCTCTTCTCGAGCAGAGCTAACCCAATACCTCCTTTACATATTGATCTTTCAAAATACCGCTCCCATATATCCATCCGATCAACTGGTAGTCTTTGCCTTCCCGTAAATCTTTGTGCAGTGCCTGCTGCTGCTGCTGCTGCTCACTTAGCACTAGTTCTTACCGAAAGGGATTATGTTCTGAGGGAACTTTCTCCGAAATTTGTTATTTAAAACTTTGATTCTGGTACTGACAATTTTCATTTTATCTTTCCTGTGGAATTTTTCCCCTCTGAAAAGCTGTGTATACACGATCAAGCCGACTAACACACTACAATACAACGTTTCCTATGCCTTCTGTGAATTATGGGGTATCATACAAAAGAAGTCCCTAAGATGAATACCATGGTTCATCCATATCATTATCGCAGGATCGGATTCAGTCACATACAGTTCTAATGGACCGTTTATTGATTCATGCAAAAGCTGATTGATCAAATACACAATATAAGGTTAATATAACTATCAACATTCTTCATTTACCTTTTGCATTTCAATATCCAGACGTCTCTGCTCAGTCTCCTTATCCATATTAGGAGTGATGATCAAGGCNCCCGCCACTCCGAGCCGCTTTAATCATATCAGCGGCAGCATTCGCAATTGCGGTCATACTCCCGACAGCGGGACCTTTTGCTGCGGCTGCTGCTGCAGCTGCCTTTGCTCTAGAGGCTGCAGCTGCGGCTTCTTCTGCCACTTTTGCCTGCTGTTCTTGCTGTTGTTTGGATGCTAAAAGTGAACCCATTAGCGAGGTTGGTGGAAGCGCAACGCCGATAGGTAGACCACCATTCGAACCCGATAAAGACTCTTCCAGAGTATCTGCGAAGGCACGGCGATGCAGTACCGGTGATCGTGACCGTGAACGTCTGGAGCTTCTGTGTCGATGTGAATGGCTTTCATCGCGGCGGCTGGCGGTTTCCGAGGAAATCAAAAAACCGTAGATAGTGGACAGACCAGAAAAAAGAATTTGCCAAAAGTATACGACACTAAGAAGACATACATAAGATCACCCATAGCAAAAGCAGCCAACAATGCAATCATGATCAATAAATGACATCTTAACGGTTTCCCGTAAATGGTAGGCGACCCTGCTGTCGCCCAGCTTACTACCACGCTCAACCTTTTGAATCCTTGTGGTTTACCACTCCAAGGTTGGATTGCCGGTCTTCTCTCACACCACAAATGAAAAATACAAATCACAGAATGCGCAGTCTACCTATGAACTCACAGCACTCCATAGCCCTCATTAACACTCGTAGTTTAAATTGAAACGTTAATTTTGTACACCACTTTCTGCAATCTTCTCCCCCTTTGGCTTTATTTTTGACGGAGATACACCTCTCCCTCGTCAGACACTAATCATCTTCCGTTCCCTAATTACTTCCTCCATTCTTTTCTCTCTAAAGCTGGTGCCTGCGCCTATTTTCATCATCCTGTCGCTTCTTCTTGACTTTCGTACCTAGACTTCTCCAACCGTGAATTGCAGTTTATGTGGCTGAAACTTTGATTCCATGCTTTCAACCACTATTTTTGCACTGTTTACCGCTCTCTGAGCAACAGCGATTCTTTTATTTTTGATATTCTACCTTCAAATATTGAGACACTAATAGCAGTTTTTTATTACACACCAGGGTGTGATGAACAGCAGTCGGGGCGGACCCCATAGTCACAAAGACCTGCTGTCAAGAGATGGTAACCGGTAACCTAAGCCCCAGGATCCAAAGCACACCGATGGCAGTGACTAAACCACTGTGCCACCACCACCCAGCCAAATTACCAGTCGGAAATTTCAATGTCCACAACAAGGAATGGCTGAAGCACTCCTCAGACACTACGTTCATAGGACGCGAAACCGAGGCTTTTGCTGTGGTTAACAACCTAAGTCAACTAGTTGACCACCCCACACGCATCCCTGATCGTATTGGTGATCGCGCCTACATCTTTGACCTCATTCTCGCATCCATTCCCTCTTCAACCCCCAACATCACTTCCCTTTCCCCATTAGGCACATAGGACCACTGTCTCGTTTCCTTTCTTATTCATTTCTCTCACTCCATTTCACCCCATCCAGACGCACCTTTTAGCGTTACGATTCAGCCAACTGGGACGGTTTTCGTGACTTTCTGGCTAGTTATCCCTGGAAGGATTGTTGTTTCAAATCTGAAGTTTCTACGTCTGTTTCAAATTTCACGGAGATTGTTCCTCAATGTATGTACCTTTATATTCCACACTTCTCCAAACTCGGCAAACCACGATCCCCTGAGTGGTTTAATCAAGTTTGCAACTGTGCTGTACGTTTTAAAAACTCAGTATTCCTACGTTAGCGTCACTCATTCAATCCAACCTCCCTCAACCGCTCCGTGCACACAGAAACAAATGCTCGGTCACTATTCAGAAAACTAAAGAACGCTTCGTTTGTTACAAAGCTTCCTCCGGCACCGGTGACCGAACATTCTGGTTCCCCGAATAAAGCGGTTTCACGTAACTTCTGCCCTACCAACTTTCCTCCCATTTGCAATTCCTCTGGCACCCTTGTTTGTGATCCCCGCGAAGAAGCTGAGGTCATCGCTTCCCGGTTTGCCTCCAACTCCACCTTATCTGCCGACTCTACTGGTCAACCCTCCTCCTACACATCCAATCACTCCTTTCTACATATCATAACAACCAGAAAGTTCCGCCAAACTCTTCGTGGTTTGAATGTTTATAAACCACCCGGTCCGGACGGTATTCCATCTATTGTCCTATAAATGTGTGCCCCTGAGTCAGCTCCTCTTCTACGCCGCATTTTCTGTTATTCACTCGAAATTAAATCTTTCCCTGCTCCGTGCAGAAATACCATTATTTTTCCAATCCCAAAGCGCGGGGACCCTTCCGACCCCAACAACTACCGCCCCACTGCTCTCACATCTGTAATTTTGAAAGTGTTTGAAATCATTATCTCCGACCAGTTGTGTACGTTTCTCGAACGTGAAGGTTTGCTGAATGACCATTAGTATGGATTTCGATCCCGTTGATCTACGGGTGATTTACTGGCGTTCACATCACATTCCTGGTAGACTGCACTCGATAACCACGGAAAGAATCACATGGTTTCGCTCGACATTGCAAAGGTCTTCGACCGCGTTTGACATGAAGGTCTACTGTCGAAGTTACCCACGTTCGGATTTCAACCGTCTCTACTATTATGACTCCGATGTTTCCTTAACAAGCAAACCATCTCCGTCCAAGTAGATGGGGTCCTATCTCGGCCATTTTCTGTGAATGCCGGTGTTCCACAAGGTTCTATACTTTCGTCCACCCTCTTTCTTTTATTTATCAACGATATTTTGTCCAAAACCTCTAATCCCATCCACTGCTTTGCCGATGATGCCTTCCGTTGTTCTCTTTCCTACCTCACACCCCATTAAGCTATTACCAATATCGATCACAATCGTAACGTCATTAGTGCTCCTCTGGCCTCCGACTTCGGACTAATCTCCACACGGAGTTCCACCAAACATGTTTTAATGCTTCCAAAACTTCTCCCCTCTCCGCCTATCTTAAACATGTCCCCTATTATCCTCAATTGATTTTTGACTCCCTGCCCCTTCGTTCCACTAATTCTCTCTCCCTCTTATGTTTATCCGTAAATTCTTCTCTCTGTTCGTCCCCTTTTATTTCTACACTTGCCTCTCGCCGCGCGCAAAGTTGGTTTCTTATTCCGCGCAAAGCGTTTCTTCACATTCAAGCACCTTCTCCTTTTATACACAGCTCAAATCCGCCCGATGATCGAATACTGCAGTCACATATTGGATGGAACTTCGTATTCCGCTCTTTCTCTCCTCCATAACGTTCAACGTAAGGCCACCCGGCTGACCGACGAACCGTTTTTGACTTACAACCTGCAATCGCTTTCCCATCGCCGGGCAGCTGCTTCGTTATCTCTTTTCTATCGTCCCTATTTGTTTCTCCTCTTCCGAACTCGCTTCAGTGGTTCCTTTTCCATTGAACTTTTCTCGTCCATCTCGTTCTCAGGCGGGCAGTCACATTTATCGTTTTTCTGTTCCCAGATGTCGAACTTCTATCTTACAATCTTCCTTTTCCCGAGGACTGCGGAGCTGTTCAACACTTTTCCTATTTCTGTGTTTCCAAGTACTTACAACTTTGCCCTTTTTAAAAGCAGAACTAACAAATTAACTCTTAATTGAATGTTTCCCCCACATACCTCTTTCTTAGAGCATATCATTGATTGAGGGATTTACCTCTTTTGCTGTAAATCACTTCGTGTTTAATACAAAAATAGAAAAAATGTGTCTCGGACTGTTGGGTTTGCTCGTTTTGTTTATCACAAATGTAGTGAGAAATACGTGAACAAGATCTCTACCTAATCAAAAATACTACGTTTTTTTCACTTCCAAGAAACAAAATATTCATCTTCATTATTCTTCAGCTTTACCTTAACCTGTTTAACCAATACCCAGGTTCTTCGAGCTTATTCGTGAGCATCTAACAGTCATCATCATCGTACAGCGAAATACGGTGAAAAAAACTGATCGCGGCCAAACTCGCAATGCATTGAGGTTTGATGTACGGGAACTGCTAGGGTGTCCATCCACTAAGCAGTAATAGTAGTGCCACACGAAACCAGTTTAAAAAAACTCCTTCCAAAAAAACTTTATACCAAACAGGTTTTTCATGCTTACGGACAGTTCACCGCAGTTCTACGTCATTACGATGTCCTATGTCACCGTTAGAGACCTCACCGAAGCGTAGACTGGAGGCCATATTTTTGATTATACTTAAGTTATGATGCTGAAGAAAGTTTTACTTCAATTATTTTTCTGTTTCATCACCTGTTTTGTATGAAAATACACTCTACCACTTGGCTCTTGTATACAGTCTCAGTTGATGCTACCTTGTAAGGGATTCTTCTGTAGTTGCATTCACATCCTCTCAAGCGCGTCCCTTTGACCGCCCACCTTACAGTTTGTGTCTCGACACTGACTTCGTATCACATTATTATTTGTTTTACAAGGCCCACAAGAATACGTACTCGAAAATTTTGTTTGGCAACATATCCACCTGGTAGTAAGGACAGTAAAAAAAAACAGGCCAACATACAGGATGGGAGTGGCCCAACTTGTACAGTTCTTGTAAAAGAACGACTCTCTTTATTGATCAGCACGACTGCTCGGTTCTTGTTTGGAAGTAACAATGTGAATGGGAACAAAACATGTGGCCTACAAAAGCCTCAGTAGGATCATCATTTTTGTCACCGTCGTCGTCATACAGCGAGATACAGTGAAGCGAATTTCGATGACCGCTGCAAAGCTCACAATGAGCACAAATTAAGTACAAGAGAGATTAGGCCTAATTGGAGGGCGGAAAAGAAGGCGAACCGTTATGCTCAACACAGAGGGCAAAACCTAACCATGCATACATACCTTTTCAGGTATTCTGACTTGATAAGAAACGACGACAAGAACGAAACTGCTGTCGGTTAGTCGCCAAATCCTTTAGTGTCTCCAACCAACCGGCTGCAGAGTACTTTAGACCCAAACCTGGAGAGCCGGGAAACACCTACTCCACCTAATCACTCTGTGCATTTCTTCAGGTTTCGTCTCCACATCATCTATTGACCTCCATATAGTTTCCTCCAACTTGAGGCCGCAAATCCAAATAACATCCGATGCTGTAGGGGACAGCGGGGTATGCACAATACCTGTCCCAAACAGCGAAGCCGCTTAATCCGAATTTGATGGGACG